GAGTTACTCTGTGGAGGAGTTACTCTGTGCAGGAGTTACTCTGTGGATGAGTTACTCTGTGCAGGAGTTACTCTGTGCAGGAGTTACTCTGTGGATGAGTTACTCTGTGCAGGAGTTACTCTGTGCAGGAGTTACTCTGTGCAGGAGTTACTATGTGGAGGAGTTACTCTGTGGAGGAGTTACTCTGTGCATGAGTTACTCTGTGCAGGAGTTACTCTGTGGATGAGTTACACTGTGGAGGAGTTACTCTGTGGATGAGTTACACTGTGGAGGAGTTACTCTGTGGAGGAGTTACTCTGTGGAGGAGTTACTCTGTGGAGGAGTTACTCTGTGCAGGAGTTACTCTGTGGAGGAGTTACTCTGTGGAGGAGTTACTCTGTGCAGGAGTTACTCTGTGGAGGAGTTACTCTGTGCATGAGTTACTCTGTGCAGGAGTTACTCTGTGCAGGAGTTACTCTGTGCAGGAGTTACACTGTGGAGGAGTTACTCTGTGGAGGAGTTACTCTGTGGAGGAGTTACTCTGTGGAGGAGAACACAGGGAGGTGTTTTATTTATAGTTTGTCTGAAGCAGCACAGAGTGACGGACCGATAAAGTCCTCCTTGGACAACGGGTTAAGTCTCCAAGGACACAGAGTGTGTGAGCAGAACGAGCAGTTTCACAACAAGTGGACCAAGGTCAGAAATAACCGGTCCAGAATCACGTTCTCTCACTAAAACAGAATTCATACAACTTCTGCCCCGGGGAGAAGAAGAGAAGATCTCCAGGTCAGATGACGGGGGATACGGTTATTTGACAAAACTATACTTGTAAGCAACATAAAACTAGAAGGCATAGTTCTGTCAAATGACCGGGGTCGCCGGTTTACATACGTGTGTGGTGGTGGCCATCTTGGATTTTGACAAGGCAACCGGTTTTCCACAGGGACCTTTTCTTACGCCTGGATGCAGCCACACGCTGAACTGGAAGTCGATGCCTGGATCATTTTCAACGTATCCAGCTCACAAGATACAAACTGTATTTTCACGGCCCCTCCACTCCGTCACAGAGAACAACATCCAGCTGCACATTCAAGTTTTCCTGCTGAGCTGAACAGTTTCAACATTTTCTGGATCGGGTCCTTCGTGTTGTTGGAAACCAAGAAAGAAGTGGTATTTTTTATCACTGGCATGAACTCTTACCAGATACTTGTTGGGAACTGGAGGTGCCCACTCGTAGGTGATGGTTTTCATCGGCACATCTTTGGAGACTGGAACCAGACTGGCTGCTGTGGCCCCAGTATGGACTGGGATCTTGTCAGCCCTGACAGGAGTGATGGCAGCAGATGCAGGCTGACCCTGACCCTGCACCTTGGGACTAACAGAAGCTGAACCTATAGAGGCTCCTGCAGGTTGGACAGAACCTGCTGTGGCAGGGGGGGGCACAACAGTAGACGAGGCGCAGGGAGCAACCGTGTAAGCGGTGGCGGGGCTGGGCAGGGTGATGGTCACCATGTTGCCCTGGGATCCAGGGATGCCGTCCGTTTTCAGTTTGGCGATGAGGCCCGTGTACTTGGTGTCTTCAAACAGCTTCCCAACCTTCTTGTTCTCTTCAGAAATCATCGCCACGTCATGTTCTGCAAGGCCACACTTGCAGTTCCGACAAATTTTTCTGCACAAAAAAGCAACAGGGACATTTTAACTGAATGGCTCAGTCACAGCTTCTTACGTCCAAAAGACACGAACTCTTAAAAAGCAACAAGATCAATTAGTGAAGAAACTAAATCTTTGTTGGGGCCTGAAGGCAGACGCACATCATCATCATCATCACCATCATACAAAGGGTCCTGCTCTTCCATCAACTTTAATGTGGCCCGGACCTCAACGTGTCCCCCCCCCCATGTTACATCAAAACGACCGGCTCGGCCTCGTGACGCACGCTGCGACTTCTATTAACGATTCGAGTTACCATGGCGACGTGATTTGCAAACTTTTTCTCATTCAAAATGCATGATTGAACTTTCAGCAGCCTATAAATGCAACAGTGAGGTCACATGACCTAAAGGGAGGAGGTCTCTGAACAAAACACTGAATCATTTTTGGAGCCATTTTGATTCAAGATGGCTGCCATAGCTACCACAGAAAAATCTAAACTGACTATGACTCTGTCATTCTTTGAGATGTTGAGCCGAAACTTGGTTTGATCGAAGCGGAGAACGTTCCCATCACGAGCTGATTCCAAATCAAAAATCCAAGATGGCCGCCATGAATTACAAGAAAAAATGACTAACTTGTTGATTTTTTGCCATAATTTGGTTTGATGGCAGCCGAGAGCGAACCCCAACACGCAGACCTGTAAAAACATGTTTTTAAATAGACGCCACGTGGCTCCCGTCAAAGTTTCTCCACAAACTTTCTTGTTGAAGACGAACATTTAGTGAAGAAAAAGGTCTTTGTTTCCACTTCTTATTAAATAGTAAAGTAGACCATGTTGCCTTGGAACATGAACAGGTCTCTGCTGTTAAATGATTTAATGTTAAATGTTTTAATGTTAAATGATTTAATGTTAAATGATTTAATGTTAAATGCTTTAATGTTAAATGCTTTAATGTTAAATGCTTTAATGTTAAATGCTTTACTGTTAAATGATTTACTGTTAAATGATTTACTGTTAAATGATTTAATGTTAAATGATTTAATGTTAAATGATTTAATGTTAAATGATTTAATGTTAAATGCTTTAATGTTAAATGCTTTAATGTTAAATGCTTTAATGTTAAATGATTTAATGTTAAATGCTTTACTGTTAAATGCTTTACTGTTAAATGCTTTACTGTTAAATGCTTTTCAGTTTAGTGTTTTTAAACAAACACTCGTGTCTCGTGGTTCTTCTGCTGAACGCAGTCGCTCCGACTCGCTCCTCTCCAACAGTAGTGCCATTATAGGTCTGAGCCCTTCCAACAAGCCTCGGCACAGCCTCCTGCAGGTTTACGGCTCGATCCTGACATCATTCCTGACTTCAAGCTTCAGCCTGAACATGTTGGACTTCAGACAGAACGAGGAATGAAAAAGGACGGATCCTTTACCACTGAAGGAAACACGAACGTAACTCCACTTGTCTCTCTGTTATAATATTTATTACCTGGAACTTAGTAAAAAGAATGCAACAGCCCCCAACACCTGGCTGTGCCACCTTTGTAGCACAAACTGCAGACGTGAAAGAGTCGTTGCCAGTTTTAGATGAAGGCAGCGAGTCTTTCTCCCGGCTGTGAAGAATCGTTGCTGCTGCACTTCGGCTCATCGATCTGCTCCAGAACCACATGTGGAACTGAAGTCCGGACATTCGTCTTCTGGACTTTCTAGCAAAGAGCAGAGTTCATGGTGCTATGAACTACAGCAGGACATCCAGAAGTAAAGCAGACCCAAACCATGCCACTACCACCACCGTGTTTGACGGTCAACATCATGTTCTTTTAGTTCTATGTAAGGAGACTAAAACCTTCCACAAAGTTCAGTTTTTGTGTCATTATTCCACATCAAGATGATTTCTGGACCACTGTGAGGTTTGTTATTGGGTCAGCAGCAGTTCTTCACTTGGGCTCTCCTATGGACGCCATTTTGGTCCTTTGTTTCTGTCTTATTGACGAGTTATGAAAAATGACTGAGACAAATGAGGCCTGCAGGGCGTTAGAGGTTCTGGGTCCTTTTGGGACCTCCTTGATGAGTCGTCAATGAACTCTGGAGTAATTTTAGTCAGCCGGCCTCTTCTGGGAGGTTCACTGGTCCTTAGTGTTTTCTTCATAGATCAGTTGAAGTGATTTCCTGATTCTGCAGCTCGGCCGTCATCAGGTGTGGCTGTTAAAGGTGGTTCATGATTTAGTTTAGTTTTCACACAAACGTTGGTTTGGATAGATTTGTTTCTTCAATAAAACTGTGATTGAAAAGCTGCTCTTTGTGTTAACTCACGTCATCTTTGTCAGATATTGGTTTTTTGACCTAAGGGCCGTGTCACTCTAGAACGTTTTAATCTTAATGGAGTTGGACAAATGGAAACTTTGCCAACACGTTAACATTCGCAGAAGATGGAATAAAATCAAAATCAAATGGAAGCCACATTTGATCGTGCACATAGTGTGTTGATAACAAGTTCCTTGGGAACCTGAAGCATTAACCCTTCAAGGTGCAGATGTTACAATACGCTGTGTGAACTTGTGCATATATATGTTAGTTGCATTAGAAGTTGCTCATATGTTAGAAACTAGAAAGTTGCTGAAGAAACTTTGACGGGGCTGCCATGTGGCGGCCATTTAAAAACCAAGTTTTTACAGTACAACGTGTTGGGAGACGACCTGAGCTACCACCACCCCAAGTTTCAGCTCAATATCTCAAAGAATGATGGAGTTATAGTCAGTTCAGAGTTTGCTGAGGTAGCTGTGGCAGCCATCTTGAACCAAAATGGCTCCAAAAATTATCAGTGTTCTGTTCAGAGATCTCTCCCCTCTAGGTCATGTGACCTCACTGTTGCATTTAAAGACTGTTAAAAGTTCCCCCGTGCATTCTGAATGAGAAAAATGGTGTCCTTGCTTGTTAATTATGTCGCCATGGCAACTTAAAACACCAATAAAAGTAAGAGCACACATCACGGTGCCGAGCCGGTCGTTCTGACATAACATTTGTGGGGAACACGTTGAGGTTCAGGCCACATTAAAGTTGATAGACGAGCGAGACCCTTTCAGGTGGATGTCTTTCCAGACGGTCTCCAAAAGTTACACAGTAAGTTGTGTATGCTGCACAATGACCCAGCTGGTTTTCAACGTATGTCAACTTACGAGTAACTTAAATGGTAAATACAGTAAACTGTTCCTATACACCTCCTTTCTAACTGATCAATTCAATTCAATTCAAAAATACTTTATTAATCCCAAAGGGAAATGAAGTGTTGTTGTAGCTCATCATCCTGGTTTCATTAGAGTTGTTATAGATGCTGATGGCTGTGGGCAGGAAGGACGTCTTGTAGCAGTCCGTCCCACAGCGGATCCAAAAAACTGGCTGCAGATGTCGATCCGTCCACCCAGACCCAGCAGACCTCTCGGTCCTCTTGGACAACAGGACTGCCTGAATACTGGGCAGAACTACTCCCTGAGGAACGGTCATTTCCCCCAGCAGCCTGACAAGCCCTTCGTCACCGCAGACTTAACTGCAGGTGCCAGGGTGCAACCTCGGCCCTCCCGCTGTCACGAGCCATGTTTCCCGCTACCTCCAAGATCTCGGCAGTCAAGTCAGTCACTCGAGCACTGCCTCCAGGTAGATGGAAATACATCCATGGCGCCTCCTTTTCAACTCATTTGGGATTTGGGGCTGTAGACAAGACACTCAAAGCTTTTTACAACAATCTGTGCCTCATTCACCCATTCATACAGCTCTATACTAGATCTGTACAAAGACTAATCAGTGATTTAGATCACATTCATACACTGATGGGACACACATCAGAGGCTATGAGGGGTTCAGTGTCTTGCTCAGGGACACTTCAACATGTGACAGCTGGTGGAACTGAACCCCAAACTCTTGCATTGGAGGACGACTGCTCTAACCACTCAGACACAGCCGCCCATGTTACCGCCAACTTGCATGTAACCTGTGTTACATGTTATGCATAAACTACCCGTCACATACCTGTAACTTATGCCTAACTTATCAGCTAAATGTCGGCGTACGCTGAAAGAACAGAACATTTTTGGCTGATTGCATATAATCGTGCAGGTAATTTAAACTTACACCAAACTGATGTGACTCATGTCAGCGTGTCGGGCATTCCTTTCACGCACTGATGCTATAAGTCACTGTGTGACAGCCTCGTGAAACATTAGTTATTAAAAGACAAAACCAGAATGAAACTAAGGAAGAAGACTTTTTAATCCCATTTCAAACTGGCCAGAATATCCCTGAGACTCGGAGCCGACAGCTCAGCTGAAAACACGGTTACAGTTACCATCAAGAAATAATTCACCCTGAAAGTTCAATGTTCACACTTGTTGCCTGACGCGCCAACACTGAGTTGGTTTAAAGTGTCACCATCACCACCATCACTTCCAGAGCTGCAGGGTCCAGTAAGGCCGCTGACTCGTGCTGCTACCAGTTGTACTGAAGAGGAAAGAGACCGAGTCGAAGAACGACGCTTTCCATGAACCGTTGTTGTTTCAAGAAGGCTACGACGAATAACGCACGTGTTTCCTCTACAACCTCCTGATTTATTAACCATAAATAAAGTTACTTTGTTCTATGATTTGGTGCTGGACATGATCCCAAATCTTTTTCTTCAGGCAGCTGATTCTTCTGAGTCATTTCCAAATTATTCCTTTGGTCCTTGCACAGAAAAGTCTGCATATAAATATTTACAAGTGTTTCTATGGTGATATTACAACAATGAACTGCTTAATGAAGGAAGAGTGCAAACCTCCAGAAATGCAGCTCAAATCCCTCGCACTTGTCCTTGCACTTCAGACAAGCCGCTCCAGAACCGAACTCATGGCCGAGGGTCATCTGCAAAAGAAAACGCACAAACAGATTAGTTACTAGAAAACTTTGATGAAACGATGAGTGCTGCTCATGACTCAACATCCATCAACTTTATTCTGTAAAGAACAATAGTAATTTAGAACTTAAAGTCATTTAAGCCGACACAATACTGATGTACAGACTGTTAAAGAGCAAGGAGAAAATAATTAAACTGAAAGATGCCACAAGTGGCTCACTGTGGGGGATTCAGGGGCAAAAGAAGGATTTGATGCCGATTCTGCAAGTTCTCACCTACAAAGAATGGAGAGGTCTGCAAGTTTGACTGTAGCTATACTTCAACTGTGAGACAGAATCCAAGACCAAACTCCAGAAGATCGCATTGTATGGTTTTTAAATAATTAATTTGTATTTTATTGCCTGAAACAAGTATCTGACCAACCAGCAACAATTCTGGCTCTCACAGACCTGTTAGTTTTTCCTTTAAGAAGTTCTCCTACTCCTGGGGGAGCGGTGGCGCAGTGGTTAGAAGATGGGCTTGTGATCGGAAAGTCGCAGGTTCACCTGCCTGGTTCTTTCAGTCCTGATCCAAACCTCATGACCACAGGTGAGGGTTGGTTCATAGACAGACCAGTAAATCCAGAGCTTTGACTTTCAGCTCAACTCTTTGTTCACCAAAACTGACCGAAGCAACACCCTCACTGCTGATGATGAGGCCCCAATAAGTCAAGAGCTCGACACCCAGAACCCTTTAGTCTAGTTCTTCTTCAACTTGTTGTGATTGACCTCGATGATGGGAATCTGCACCAGCACGAAACAAGTGAGTCCGATAGAAAGGACTCGTTGTGTAACACACAAACAGGAAACAGATTACACAAGCCAAGATGTGCACAAGTGATGAATGTTCTCACAGATCCAGAACACGCCTCTCATGTGGTCCAGATGGGCTGTGATCTAAGCAGAACAGTTTTTCTTCACTTCAAAGTTAATTTACAAAGATTTCTAAATGAAACGCTTGAAGATGAAGTTGGAGAAAGTTAGAGCCCTTTGTTTTCCACACGTCCTGTGTGAAGCAACGCTCACGTCCACCTGAAGCCACCGTGCAGTTTGTGACCATATATGGTCGAGTGCTTGACAGGGCTGGACCCGGTGGTCCCAGCAGACACCCCCACTGTGGACAACACGTTCATGACCCGAACGACTCGGCGCAGCCAGAACTGCTGGGAACAGTGTTCTCCTTTAGCTGCTGTAGCTTCTCACGTCCTCTCAGAAACACTCTGCAGCAAACGAGATCATTCAAGTGCAAGAGATGCAGATAATGAGCTCCTCTGACGTCTGTGTTGCAGGCAGCACCCCCCCCAAAAAAAGAAATAAATAAACCACTAGTTAAATTGGCAAACAAACAGTAAAGTGGAATAGTTTCTGGGAATCAGGCATTTTAAGAACAACTCTTCTCCATCACCACATCAGAAATCTTTATAATAAAGCGAAGTGCATTTAAAACGATGTTTTAACGGACCTGAATGAATAACCAGTGTCAGCTGATCGTATGTGAGAAGAGCAGCTGATGTCGCCCTTCATGCCACGGCTTAAACGAAGATGAAAAGGGATGGAGACGTTGAGATCCTCGTGATGCGTTGGCGCTCAGGACGTGTTGGGACGATTCTCAGCTACTACCACTCCAAAATTATCTCCGTACCTGTAGCATCACTGGGTTTTAGCCACCTTTGTGCTGATTAATGTTGATTAGCTCTACAGACCATCATGGACTGGGTTCAGGCCAAATGTTAATTACCAGTAATGTTCACCCAGTGAGTTTTCACAGAACACTTGAGGTCAGGACGTGGACCATGACGGTTGAAGCCAGCCCACCCCTGGTGCACCTTTGTGCTGCCCAGCCAGGGAACAGCAGCGCGGTCCTTTAAGACCTCGACCCGCTTGAGAGCAGAGAAGTTTCAGTCTCATTCAAATTCAATTAAAAACCGTTTGTTTTGTCTTGTTGTATGGAAGTGGCCGACGATAGATTGATGATGAAATGTGTCAGAGGAGCAGCAGAAGTTGAACTGTGGCAGCCTCTGCTGCTCCTCTGGTCTTTGGCAGCCACAGTCCAAAGACGTGCGTCCCTCTGAAACACGCAGCTGGTTTGAGCCTCGACGGCTACGGTGACCTCTGAACTCTGACTAAACTCTGCGGAGATTCAAAATCAGAACCGGTCTGAGTGGGTCACCAGGCTGCAGTAAGCAGCAGCTCATGAAGGGTGGACCAGTGGAACAAGCTGCACACTAAAATAAATACATTTATTCTTCGTCACATCGTGACCATTTTAAAATGGTGATTGACGGCAGCGTGTGTTGGACTTCGCTCTTAGACCATATTTCTATTATTACAAGCTATTTTTTTTTTTTCATTTAGCCTTTATTTATACAGGTTAGTCTCATTGAGCCACGAGAACTCATTTTCAAGAGAGACCTGTTTAGGGAGCACATGGTGGGGGTTAAGGGCCTTGCTCATGGGCCCAGAGTGGGGCGAATGAGGGTGGGGGCAAGTGTGGGTGTTTCACCTACCCCACCCACAATTTTGATGTTGTCGGGGCCGGGGCGTGAACCGGCGATCTTCGGATCACAAGCCCACCTCTCTAACCTCTGCGCCACCACTCCCCCATTATTACACTCCCTTATTACAAGCTATGGCGGCCATCTTGGGTTTTTGATTTGAATTCAGTATTGGGCACTGCTCTCAGCTGCCACCACACCAAATGTCACATTAATATCTACAAATATCTGATTTATAATAGTTTTCCTTTTTAGCTTAGGCCTTTTTGAAATTCTGATTTGCAGTCAGTCTATTAGGGATTCTTCTCGACTACCAATACACCAAATTTCAGATCAATAGCCCTAAAAACCTTTGAGTTACATCCATTTCAAATGAGCTTAGAAGCTATTTTTCCCCTTTTAGCTAAGGCGGCCATCTTTGATCTTTTTATTTGCATCAGGAATTTCAAACAAGTCGCTCTCAGCTACGACCAAACCCAATTTCAGTTCAGTATCTGAAAGAATGACTGAGTTATAGTCAACTTAGAGTTTTCTGAGGTAGCTGTGGCAGCCATCTTGAACAAAATGGCTCCAAAAGTTAATCAGTGTTTTGTTCAGAGACATTGTGGTTCAGGCCACATTAAAGTCGATAGAAGAGCAGGACCCTTCTCGGGTGGATAATAAGAGGGTGCTGCCTTCAGGAGCCCCAATAATTCATCAGTGAAGTCAGAATGAGCCGCAATCAATTTATTAATTACAACATTTAACAGTTTAAACCAAATCCTGCTTCATGCTTATTATTGCTGGAAACAGTGACACAAAGACGTCTTTAATAAAGCTGTAGTGACTGATGCTAAATATCTGCTGCCAGATACAGAGTTCGAGTCCAGCAGCTTGTCTCCGCTGCTGCTGAAGCTCTGCAGGCCTGGACAAAAACCTCGTCAAGGTTCGGCTCGACGCAGGTCCCGATGCGTTTCACCACATAAAACTGAACGGAGCCAAACCAAAACCATCAACCATGAAGTGAAAGAAAATCCTTGGATGCAAAAGAGCTGATGAATGCAAGCAAGGGGGTGTTGGCCAGATTATCAGTACGATCTGTGTCGGGGTTTCACAATTTTCATTTCCCAACAGGAGATGAGTCAAGTTGCTTGGACAACAACCTGAGTGAAACGCTGTGCTGTAACTTGGAAGCAGAAACTGCAAATCTCAAAGAAGTAAAGCAACGCTGGGAAGAAGAACGGGACAGAATTCCTCCACAACCACGAGAGACTGAAAACCACCAGAGAAAGATGGAGGTCCTACAAGCTGCTGGACCCTGGAGCAGTTTCTGTTTCATCTTCACTTAGTTCAATAAATAAAGACCCAGTGAAATGTGCTGATTACCTGAGGTTCAGTGCGTTTAATTTATTTATAAAAGTTCATGTCGCCGGCACTTTAAATGTTGTTTTTGTTTGAAAACATCAAGGGCCGGATTTATTTGCTTTCAGGGCCACTTCCGGCCCACGAGCCACATGTTGCCAGGATTTGCACTCGGTCACTTTGATCACTCAAACTTTTGTGTCACAAAAAGCTCTTCATGAACTTCAACACATCTGGAGCGAAGACTTGTTCTTGTTTTACTTCCTGTTAGCTCCAGCTGGAGGAGGCCCTTCACAATAAAACCTTGACAGGAGCACGAGCCTCCGGACTGAAACCTGGCAGGAAGTTCTGCTTCAATCGTTTACGGAACCGAGCGGGGTGTTGTCTTCTCCACCTGCTCCATGTTCCGACACCGAGCAGGAACCTTCACTCACCTTCTTCACCTCCTTCTCGATGTCCATCCTCAAGTCTCTGCTCGCTCCGCGAGATTTTACTGGAACTGCTGCAAAAACAACAAGTACAAGAACTCCCACGGACAAAGACCAGATAACACTCCGCTCCTCCTCCTCCGCTCCTCTGCTCCTCCTCCTCTGCTCCTCCACTCCTCTGCTCCTGCAAGTTTAACAAGCTTCCGGTTAGACCTTTCAAAATAAATCACTTCACGCCCAGAACTTTGTACAGTTACTAATGCGCATGCGTCAAGTCGGGACGCTCGCCCCAGTTTTTTCATGTCACATTTAATCTCTTTTGTTCTTTACGCCTGTTTTTTACTGACTGATCAATAAAAATTATCAGTAAATTTATTGATTTATACAGGTATTGATGTATTGATTTATACAGGTATTGAT